CATGATATAATTTAAAATAACAATATTATATCAAATTATATTACAATGGCAGGTAAGAAATCTGTGCTAAAGATGAAAGGGCTTCCGTAATGAGTGACCATCCTAACAAACAATATAGAAGAGACCTAACCCTAACCTAACTCTACCCCTCCCCCTTCCCCAAACTCTAACCCTACCCCTTCCCCTCTATTCTGCTCTGTCTCATAGTGGTCGCTCGTTACGGAAGTCCTTCCCTAAAAGATAACAAAGAAATATTGATATATATATATAATAAAGTGACGCTGCCAACTCACCGGAATGTCGTGGCAGGACGAGAGGGTCTGTCTGTCCAGTTGTTCGCGTACTCTAAAACAGCAGCAGCAACAGCAGCGACACTGTTCCTGAGCTGGGGGTGAGAGGGAAAGGACGACCCTCGACTCTGGTCCAGCTTATATACTGTAGGCAATGTTGTTGTTGTCGTCGTTGTTGTTGTTGACAGCACACTACGTTCTTGTCATGTCACGAGAAGTTCAACACACGAGAAAGATCAGTCATCAGTTTTTGTTGGAGTGATGAGAAATATTCACCATGGTGTGTGTGTGTGTGTGTGTGTGTGTGTGTCTAGACGAAGTTGGCTGTGAGTATTGTGTAATTGCACACACTCACCACTCACCACTCGGTGGTGCACAGATTTTCTGACCAACTGAATACGCACAAAGAAAGAAAATATTTTTCAACTGTTTTCTTCAGCCGCTCCGAGCTCCGAGACCACGAGTTTTAAAAACACATGGCAAGCAGACAACCTCCAGCGCGGCTTTGATTGATCGCTCTCGACAGCTCGTTCGTTATCACAAGTTCAATGAATATCGGTGAACCGATAGAGCCGAACAGCAGTGTTTCTCTTCTTCTCTTGTTTTTGTTTCAATGGTATTTCTCCGCCTTAGTTATCTTGCTCTTTGGCTGCTGCAATCGGGGTTGTTCTAGTTATCTTGAACTTGAATCTAGAAACAAGGCAGTAGTGAGAAGCTCGGTGTCATAAGTTGTCATAATAGGAGCCAGGTTCTCGACCTTCAGGGGGTCTTTTTCAGGGTTTCGTCAAGTTCAAAACGTTCTGAACAATCTCAATGAACGTGACCAAAAACAAAACATCAGATCAGGTCCTTGGAGCAGGAGTCGACAACCTTATTTACGTCACTTTTGACCATTAAAAAAAAATCACAAAAGCATACTGTTTTTGACACACAGTTTTTAGCAAGAGTGAGAAGTTTGCTTCTTTTCTTGTTTTTATTTCCGTCAGTCGTTTGTCAAATTGCTGTAGATCTACTCCGCTTTCTCTTGATGTGAGAAAAGACGAGCTGTACTTTTTCTAGTGTTGATTCTCCTTCTGAAGAAGTGGATGTCTTGCCGGCACCAGTTTTACAAACACAATTGTTTTCAGAAAATCAAATGTTTCACAATCAAAGTTCCGTCACTTTGCCGGGAATTCAGTATTTCCTCTAACTTCAGGCTTCAGTTGTCCCCCAACAAACTGCGACAAAGTTTTTCTCCAGCGAGGCAACAAGCTGATACAACCAGAAGGTGGTGTATTATTTTTATCCCAATCAATTTTCTTGACAAAATATGGGCGATCACTTCCACTTGGTGACTACAATGAACCAAACGTAATGAAAGGAAAAGTTTAGGCTATGTTGTTATCTTCCACCGAATTTTCTTGACAAAATCGTGGTGGTCACTTCGCTTTAGTGCCTTCAAAGAACTGTAAGTTGCTAAAATGAAATGTTTCTATTTCCCAGAGAAGTCTTTTGGGCAAATCGCGGTGGTCACTGGAATTGAGTGCTGACAAGTTGAACAATGGGAACAAAAGGCGTCGTCCTCACAGGTTTATCTGACAAGGTAAGTGAGTGGTCTCTCAAGCCGTACGTGCGCTATGTATGAGCCCACAGCGCGCGCGGGTCCAGCTAACCGTGTGTGTGTGTGTGTCCGTCAGCGCGCCGTGTGGAGTGTGGAGGCCTGTACAACAAGGTGTAGACCACCGCCAGGGCGAGTGGCGGGCAAGACGTGTGAAGTTCAATGTCAGCCTACAACAGTCCTCACAGGACAACGCACACCCAGTCACGAGTCCGCTCTCGCCCTCTCTCTCTCTCTCTCTCTCTCACT